AGTAATCAAAGTTTCCTCATTCACAAGAGTTCTGAATGTTTCGAAATTGTGGTAGAAAAGTTCATACCACATTTCGAGGGGGAGAAATATAAGAATAATTAAGAAAGACAATTAAGAAAGATACTTTCCCCCATACTTCAGATAATGCAATGCATAAGTGATCTATAAAAGATGAATGTACTTCAAATAATGCAATGCATACTATGCATTGCAGGTAAAAGTGATCTATAAAAGATGAATGTGATCGTTGAGGGAGTAAGACGGTCATAATAATGATACCCCTAAAGTAAAGAAATAGCTAAATTCCTGGACCTTTTACAGTTCCGATAGAAAGATAGCATAGTCAGCTAGTATTTATAATGGATGACGCCATATGAGTTTTTAGCAGATTAAACCCAAAATAAGAAATTTGAAGATACACCATCTTTATAGAAGATGGAGTAATCTGGGGGAAGCATGGTATGTAGATACCTAAAGCTTGAATAGAAGTGGGATTACATATCCACTACAGTGTTTAGAGCAACAAATTGCTTAATACATGTTGATATTGTATGACATATACAACACCAGATGTTAGCTCTTAAAGAGGATGAATAAGTAAACAAGGATCTTGTGATACAGGTGGCTATAGAACAATTGCCTTTTGGCAATGAAGAGTAACAATAGCCCAATATGAAAGAAGTGCCACGAGGATCTAGAAGATCTCAAAGAATAAGAAAATCAGATATTTCTGGTGACTAAGAAGTAAAAGTTAAGAAAGAAATTCAAATAGAGAATGATTCCACCTCATTTGAAGAAGCCATGAGAGACGTTCACTCGTCTAAATGGCAAGAAGCAAAGGAACATGAAATGAAATCAATAAATACCAACGATGTTTGGGACTAGGAAGAAATTCCTAATTGAGCCAAAACAGTAGGCTATAATGGGTCTACAAGACAAAGTGACTCCAAAGGGAATATAGAAAGATATCCAAAGAGAATATGGAAAGCTATAAAGCGCCACTTGTGGTGAAATGATTTACATAAAGAGAAGGAATAGATTATAATGGGCATGCAAGGATTCTTTTAGAATCATAATGGTATTAGTGGCACATTACGATTTACAGTTACATCAGAAGGATGTAAAGGCACATTCCTCAACGAGGATTTGTATGGAAATGTTTACATGGCATAACTCAAAAGGTTTTGTCGTGGAAGGAAAAGAACGTAAAGGGATGTTGCCTAAAGAAATCCATTTATGGATTAAAGCAAGCTTCAAGACAGTAGTTCTTGAAGTTTGACAGTACAATAAGAAAGTTTGGGTTTTAAAGAGGATGTAGAGGACAATTATATTTATGCAAAGATTAAACATGAGAAATTTATTTTCCTAATCCTGTATGTGGGTAGCACCTTACTCGCTAGTAGTGGTGTTAATCTACTGTTGGAGAAGAAGAAGTTCTTGTCCTCAAGTTTCAAGAGAATGATCTTGGTAAAGCGTCATTCGCTCTAGAAATTGGAACTTACCAAGACAAAAGAAAAAGGGGTATTAGAACTATCTCAAGTGTATACTTAGAGAAGATTCTAAAGAAATAAAGTATATATGTGAGTAAACTTGCGCCTGTTTCTATAGTAAAGGGTAATAGTTTTCGGAACTTTCAGTGTTCCAAGAACGAATGTGAGATCGATCAAAAGGACGTCCTATATGCTTCAGCCGTTGGAAGCTTAATGAATGCTTATAAGCAAGAACTTACCCTGACATAGTTCATGTATCCGGGATATTTTGGCAGAAGTCCAGTCCAGATATAGATCACTGGAATGGAGTTGAGAATGTTTTGCAATTGTGCAAAGATTTATATGCCTCATGGTGAGTAAGAAAGAATAAGTACTCTCAAATAGTTGTGGGTACAAAATGTTAAATTTTGGCGAGACGTTTAGTGAAACCCACATAGTAGCTAACACTCGCAGTTGGAGTTTTATTGTGGAAAAGCTCCAAAGAAACAGTTGTGGTGTCATCAAAGATACATACCCACAGTATAGCTTGATATGAGGCTTAAAGGACAGGCGAAGTGGTTAAAAGAACTTACACTCGGAATTGATAATGGTATACAACAGCAATAACCATTTAAGTAGTTCGCTCCTATAACAACGGGTTAAGTGTGCTGCCAAACACATTGACGTTAAAGTTATACGTTGTGAAGGAGAAAGTCTGGAATCATACTAAAAGTATTGAACATAAAAGCAACAAGCAAGTGTTGCGGATCCGCGTACAAAAGGCTTACCACCCAGTGTGTTTAGAGAACACACAGTCGACATGGGTTTATGGTATAGCCTATGATTTCCGGACAATAAAGGGCCCAAAGTTAAAGAATCTGTTTCAGAAGAGAGATGTGTATTGTAGCTGTTAAGTCTATCGGCGATTGACCGTGACGATGAAGCATGCTCTATGCACTAATCTGTGATGGAACAAATAAAAGTAAAAGTGATTAAAGTCAAAGTTTAAAGTTAAAATATGAGTTGAGATCAAGGGGGAGAATGTTAGAATTGATCTCATCCGTTTTGACCCAACGGTCAAGACGGACCCCTTTTGACCGCGTCCTGATCGGGGACGTCTAGCCATCTAGTGGCTAGTGGCCCCCCGTCGCACAGTGCCTATAAAGAGGAGGTGGGGCAAACGGCTCTGTTTATGAGGTTCACCGCCGACACAGCCCCACTGCCCTAACCCTAATCCGATCCAGAGGGTGGCACTGCCAGCGGCGGGAAGCGCCACTGCCTCCACCACCACCGCCGGTCTCCACCGCTACTCCGACCGTCATTTGCCTAGTGCGAGAGCTTCACCAACGAACCATTGAAGGCAGGGAGCTCCTCCGACGGTCAGATGCTCCTACATCTCCCTCTCTCTCTGTTATCTACTCCCTCTGGATCGGATTAGAGTTAGGGCAGTGGGGCTGTGTCGGCGGTGAACCTCATAAACAGAGCCGTTTGCCCCACCTCCTCTTTATAGGCACTGTGCGACGGGGGCCCACTAGCCACTAGATGGCTAGACGTCCCCGATCAGGACGCGGTCAAAAGGGGTCCGTCTTGACCGTTGGGTCAAAACGGATGAGATCAATTCTAACATTCCGTCGCTGCCTAGTGCAGAGCTTCACCAACGAACCATTGAAGGCAGGGAGCTCCTCCGACGGTCAGATGCTCCTACATCTCCCTCTCTCTCTGTTATCTACTCCCTCTGAATCTCAAAGTCACTGATTATCCCAAATAGAAAAGAACTCACCCACTGGATCCACTACTAGATGATCCAAAGGACATTTACAGATCTATCTAACTAAATTTTGCCAAAAGGGACAGGTGATGCAGTCACACTTCACATGGACCTGACACCGGCCAACTAACCTTAGAAGGGTTCTTCTGAGTTTGGTGAGCTGTTTTTTGGGGGGTTGAGAATGAGCTGACTTCTCAAAGACTGGGCGTCCGAACTATTTCTCCCAATCTTGCAGAAAGCGAAAAACGCTGCAAAGTAGATCGGCTGAGATTGATGTAAGGATGCAAAGACAGAAACAAGGGACACTACATGACCAGCCTTATCTTTTTTACTCATTTTCAAGACAAATGCTGCACAAACTTTTTGATATTATCAACTTATGAAAGACTGGACTCTGCATGGACTGTCCTTCTCGTCACCAGGAAGGATGAATTCTGGCAGAGTGATATAAGGATACACATCCAAGGTTGAGTAGATCAAAAGTTTAAAATGAGGACTAGCAGAGTTATGCATGGTACAGCACATGACCAGCAGGAGGGAAAAAAAACATGGAGAACAGCTGTTCATCCTGGAAGAACAATAATGTGGAAACATGGATGGATATGCTTCAAATAAAATTTTGGTTTTCTAATAATAATGTGGAAACCTCTCCATCCTAATCTTCTTTGAAGGTTCTTCTGAGAATGCTAGTAAGATGAGCTGATTTGTGAAAAACTGGGCATCTGAATTATCTCTCCCAATCTTTTTTTAATAAGGATCTCTACCAATCTTTGGAGAAAGCAAAAAATGCTGGAGCATTGCTAGCCTTATCTTTATTAAGGTTCTCAAGAAAAATATCTCCATGCAAAGCATAAATTGTCACGAAATGGATCAGATTAGATCATGAGAGTGGTACATATGGATATAAAGCCAGAGACGAACACATCAACAGTTTGAAATGAGGTTGAGTAATAGCACATTTTATGCATGGTCACTCATTACTGACAGCGCAGCTTTGCAGTGCAACTGGAAAGATGATTTATGCTAAAGCTGATAGAGAAGAACTGATTCTGTCAGAATGGAGCAACAAGGAACCGCATACTCAAATCATTCAATCATGACGCGTTATGTGAAAAAACTTGAGTATGGTTCACGTGAGAAGGGAGGGGGCCAAACGTTGCAATTAAGCAAACAAGATGAACCATCACAAGGGCCAAAACAATGAAGGACAACATATCAGTTCGTAAGAATGGAATGCCAAAAACGGATGGATGTTCTAGCACAGAAATCGAAGTATATCTGATAGTACAACGAACTCAACTAGAAATACAAGAAATATCTGATTTTGTTTTTTCAGCAGAAGACTATTAAGATAGAACATTGAAAGAAAACACGAAGCTGGACTCCACGCAAGTCTGCCAAACATTGGTCTCTACCAAAATTTCGAAACTACACATCATATCTACCTGAGAGGAGAATTTCTTAGCAGAAGTATGAATTGTGATTACAACCCACCAGAGTTACAGGCCAAAAGGAGTCACCTACATAACACCTAAAGTGTTGTACGATCCATGAGATTTTTCTTTTTGCAGCGGCAGCAGCATGTCTTTGTTTGCACCTAGGAAGAGCAGCACCCTTTCTTCGTGTTGGCAGATGAATCTGCAATGTTGATGGTGGTTCCTTGACTTGGAGGTCCACTGCCTGCTGCCTCTTGGGCTGCAAGTGCCTTCTTGCTTATAATTTGATGAATATCAGAGAGGACGGTCTGAAACGCCTTCTCAACATTAAAGAGCTTCAAGCGCGGACGTCTCGAGGAAGGATAGGCCTTTCTTCTCTGCTAATGCCTGGCCATCTTCCTCTGCAACCGACCTCAGTTGGTTAAGGTCAGACTTGTTACCAACCATCATAATCGCGATGTTGGAGTCAGCATGGTCACGGAGTTCACGAAGCCACCTCTGTATGTTTTCAAATGTCTGCTTCTTCGTGACGTCGGCTGCTCCCCCTCATATTTTACTGTTCACCAAACCAGCCGAACATGGTTTCTCTCTCACATAACCAGCTAATTTCAGTCAAGTTTCAAACCAGTGAACGGAGCCTACGACTAAAAGTGCACCCACAGCTCCTCTGTAGTAAGCACTTGTGATTGCACGGTACCTCTCTTGCCCAGCAGTATCCCATATCTGAGCTTTGATGGTTTTCCCTTCAATCTGTAATGCAGTTCCAAACTTAATCAGAAAACATCCCAGAAACAACTTAATTAAATCAGCAGAAAGAAAATAATGAAAATACCTATAAATAGAAACAGAAAAAATAAAAAAAGCAGTCAATCAGTACAAAAGGGAAAAAAGAACAGTATGATAATACAACCAAACAACTCTCAAACTTTCTTATATGTATTTAATTAATGAAAGGACATGTCTTCAGAAAACAGGCCTTGGCCTGTTTTTTAAAGTAACGGGATAAATCCACTAATGGTAACAACACAATCATGAACTCATGATAATCCATTATGCCACACAATTCCTTACTCTGAAAATTGAAATATTCCTGGTCTAGATCCACACACTTGCATGCTCTCAGCAAGTTGCTCATTTTCATACCAGGTTGAACAAACCATTTGTGACCCCTGGTAGACGCGATAGTTTTATCTTTCATGTTTGATTTGTAGTCACAGATGACAAACACAATGCTTGCGTATGCTTTGTAAATACACCAGACAATGTATCACTGAACTCGAAAACAATATATGGCAGAACTACAACTAAAACAGCAGTATAAAACATTTTTTTTTCAATTAGGATTAAAACCATGTTGGTAAAGTTGAATACAGGAATTTAAACCAATTTTGTAGCGTTATTATAGCTTAAAACATTAGAAGACAATCAGCAAACAAGAGCATGCTCGAGCTTGTTATTGGATAATGAGACAAAACAGTCAATTAAAGAGTGACGACGAGTACAGATATTTAAGTAACAGAAAAAACAGACATGCCCATCAGCAAAGTATGCGTCAACGGATGGAGTTTAAACTGACAAGCTGAGAAACCTCCAAACTGAAGGATACATATCAGCAACACGCATGCAACTCAATATAACCATCTGCCTGTTTTTTGTTCTTTTGGGTGTTTGTTAGTGGTACTGTTGCACTGTTAACTCGCAATCATTGATTGACACTATATTGACTAAAGTGTTGTACTAGTTTACTAGCCGAGGACGCAAAAATCTGTACCACCAACAATAATTCGTTGTTTTCTTCTCTGCATATATAAATATATGATCCATAGTTCCATACCAATTTCAATTTCCACCTATCAACAGAAAACACTCACAGCAACACGGGGACTTTCACAGATCTATATATGCTGATGCAGCACGTCCCTTCAGATTATTCCAGCAGACCCACCAGGGCACAATGATTTAGCTATCCCGAATTTCTGCCCATGGGTCCAAGCCGAAACAAACAATCACCTCTGATTGTCGGGTATCGATAGTAGGGATACCCAAAGCAAGAAAGTTAGCGCCACGCTGACTTTCCCGGATGGAGCAAGACGTATTAAAAGGCCTCACCCGACCACAAGGCCGCGGGGTCTCGTCCAAGGCCGCGGGGCTCCGTCTCGCCCGACCCTTTGGGTGCGGGCTCCATCTCGCCCGACCCCAAAGATGCGGTTTCTGTCTCGCCCGACCCCAAGGCCGCGGGGTCTCGCCTAAGACCGTGGGGCTCCGTCTCGCCCGACCCTAAGAACACGGTTCCTGTCTCGCCCGACCCCACGGACGCAGTTCCCGTCTCGCCCGACCTCGAGGTCACGGGGGTCTCGCCCGACCCTTGGGCGCGGGCTCCGTCTCGCCCGACCCTAACGACGCGGTTTCCGTTTCGCCCGACCCCAAGGCCGCGGGCTTAGTCTCGTTCGACCCCTTGGGTGCGGGCTCCGTCTCGCCTGACCTCTTGGACGCGGGCTCCGTCTCGTCTAAAGGGGACCCATACCGCCGCCAACCACTCCAGGTCCAAGTGTATGGGCCTGGGTCAAAACTCTGACACCAGTGAGGAGACTGGCACGCCTCGATGTAACCCGTGGCCATGATGGGCCATACCTGAGGATTCACATCAAGAACAGCGTCGGGCGTGCCGGTGCTGTTCTGCCTAACCCTCGTACGAACGCTGACAGGCGCGTCAGTTCACCACGACGTCCACTAGGACGGAATGGAACGCCATGATCGGCAGATGATGCCTGCGCATGGCGCCAGTGGAGAAATAGGGTCGCGACGTGGAGCCATCCCTGTCGACATCTATAGGATCGGCGGGACCCGCATGAAGGAGTAGAAGGACCCGGCGATCCTGGAAGCCTTCTGCCCCCTCTCGTTCTTCTCCTTTTCCTCCGCTGTAACCCGCGCTTTCCCTTCGCCTATAAAAGGGGAAGCAGGGCGCCCCATGAAAGGGGAATCTAGATCCGCACGAGACCGAACCACGAGATAAAAACACAAGAGCATGACACGAACACACGGCTAACGGGGGTTCGAGCTCTCGGCACCCGTTCAGTCCTTCCATCAGAGACTTGGATCCTTTCCCTCTCTCGCCTGTTTGTAACCCATACTGCAAACCAAGTGCCGGTAACACGAGTAGCAGCAAACTGGACGTAGGGACGTTCTGCCCGAACCAGTATAAACCCTTGTGTCCTCCGAGCCAGACGCGCAAATACAAATTTACTCGTCGGTGGTCCAAAAACACCGACACTGATCAAAACGCTTCCGAAAGTAGCAGGAACCCACCAAATGTAATAAATCTCTTGACTCATCCATCTAGAGAGAGATTCAAGGGCAGGGAGAGGGAGTGGGTTTACCTGGAGGGTGCGGGTGGCGAACTCGACGCCGATGGTGGACTTGGACTCGAGGCAGAACTCGTTGCAGGTGAATCGGGAGAGGATGTTGGACTTGCCAACGCCGGAGTCGCTGATGAGCACGATCTTGAAGAGGTAGTCGTACTCGTTGTCCACCTGGTGCACCATCGCCGGCCGACTGAAAGGTCCTAATATGGCTAGAGGGGGGTTGAATAGCCTATTTAAAAATCTATAAATCAACTAGAGCAATTTGATTAGTATAACAAATAGCGAAATGCAAACTTGCTCTAGCTCTACAAGGGTTGCAAGCCACATATCCAACAATTCTAGTTGCTATGATCTTTAGACACACAATTTGCTATGTCACTACTCACTAAGAGCTCTCACACTTGCTACACTAAAGAGCTCCACTAGATGAACTTAAAACAGCAAAGCAAGCTCTCAATTCTAATTACACTAAAGAGCTTGCTACAACTAGTTTGGAAGAATATAAATGAGTGAGTATGGTGATTATAATGTAGTGTAGAGGAGTGAACCAATCACAAGATGAATACTAAATCAATCACCGGGAGAATATCAAAGGGCAAGAGACAACCAATTTTTCTCCTGAGGTTCACGTGCTTGCCGGCACGCTAGTCCCCGTTGTGTCGACCAACACTTGGTGGTTCGGTGGCTAAGAGGTGTTGCACGAACCTCGTCCACACAATTGGACACCACAAGAACCTACCCACAAGTGAGGTAACTCAATGACACGAGCAATCCACTAGAGTTACCTTTCAGCGCTCCGCTGGGGAAGGCACAAGACCCCTCACAATCACCACGATCGGAGCCGGAGACAATCACCAACCTCCGCTCAACGATCCTCGCTGCTCCAAGCCGTCTAGGTGGCGGCAACCACCAAGAGAAACAAGTGAATCCCATAGCAAAACACAAATACCAAGTGCCTCTAGATGCAATCACTCAAGCAATGCACTTGGATTCTCTCTCAATCTCACAATGATGATGGATCAATGATGGAGATGAGTGGGAGGGCTTTGGCTAAGCTCACAAGGTTGCTATGTCAATGCAAATGGCCAAGAGAGTGAGCTTGAGCCGGCCATCAGGCTTAAATAGAAGCCCCTACGAAATAGAGTCGTTGGCTCCTCAGTCTACTGAAAAACGGGACGACCGGACACTGCCACGTGGCCCCTGCTTCAAACGATGATCGCTCGATCTCAACGGTCATCAGTATATTTAAGTTGTGACCGGACGCGCTGCTTGAAAGTGACCAAACGTAGGACCTTAGCGTTCGGTCATTTCCAGTAAACTTCCATTCGCGAAAAATCACAACCGAACTCACCCAGCGTCCGATCACTCGGCGTCTCCTCTGTGCGCTGCCACGTCAGCAGGACCGGACGCACCCCGTTAGCGTCCGGTCACTAAGTGACCCAGCGTCCGGTCGAAGACCGACACCAGCGTCTTCACTCTTCCACTGACCGGACGTGCCAGTCCTACCGAGACCAGCGTCCGGTCACTTACAGTGACCTCCGTCTTTTCTGTACAGTGCGCCGGTGGCACCGTCAGACTGTCCGTACTCTACGAGCGGACACTCCGCTAGTGAAGTTTTTAACCCTTGCTCACATGTGTCAACCACCGAGTGTATCACCTTATGCACATGTGTTAGCATATTTTCACAAAATGTTTTCAAGGGTGTTAGCACTCCACTAGATCCTAAATGCATATGCAATGAGTTAGAGCATCTAGTGACACTTTGATAACCGTATTTCGATACGAGGTTCACCCCTCTTAATAGTACGGCTATCGATCCCAAATGTGATCACACTCTCTAAGTGTCTCGATCACTAAAACAAAATGGCTCCTACCACTTATACCTTTGCTTGAGCCTTTTGTTTTTCTCTTTCTTCTTTTCAAGTCCAAGCACTTGATCATCACCATGGCATCACCATCATCATGGTATGATCTTTATTTGTCTCATCACTTAGAATGTGCCACCTATCTCATAATCACTTTGATAAACTAGGTTAGCACTTAGGGTTTCATCAATTCACCAAACCAGACTAGAGCTTTCAATCTCCCCCATTTTGATAATTGAGGACAACCCTTTCACAAAGATATGAATTGAATTCTAATTGAATCCATGTTGCTTGCCCAAGCATATTTACCATGTGTAAAAGGATATGGACAAGTTTCATGAACCCCAAATGGTAGTAATTTGCTCCCCCTACATATGTGCTAAGAGTTTGGATTGTAGCTTGCATATATGCTTAGATAGGAAATATAGGAGACAATTTCTATAAAATGATGCTAAGGTATAAGAGATGGACCTTTGAAGCGTGATACCAATCGAAGTGCACCAATATACCATCTTTAACACCATTAGTAACTAGACATACATAAAAACTAGAATACCCCATGAGATCAATATTACAAGTAAGGGTCTAGTTTTCATACGATGAACATAAGTCTAGTTACTTTAGTCTATGCATGCTAGTTTTTCACTTTACCATTCAAGCGTATAACTAGCATACACCATACAAGCATGGATATTGAAATTTAAAACTTGTGCCATACAAGCAAATATATGAAATGCACATTCAAATGCAACATACAAGGTTTATGAGCTTGCTCCCCCTACTTGTGTGCATTTTTTATTGATTCCCTTACAATATCATTTTATTTGTTTGCTCCTCCTATCTTACTATCTTTGTGAATTTCTCTCCCCCTTTGCCAACAATTAGCATAAAAGGTGAGCTCAAATTATAGATAGGTTGGGGTGAAACCATGTGAAATGAGGATCATTCTCCCAATTTGGTTCAATCTAGATTACTTGCAAAAGATATTTAACTCGGTTTGATCCAAGGACAAGCTTCTTCACACCTCTAAATAAGGGTTATCTTGTACCATATTGAGTTAAACACTTATAGCTTATTTTCTAGATCAAACACTAGGTTTACAAGCCCACAAACATGTCATATGCTACCACTAGATCATTTCAAACATATAAGCAATAGTGGTATCATACAAGCATCAAATTCATTTGTTTTTTATGAATGAGCCTAGGACATGATAGGAATGACTAGATGCACTAAACAAGTCCTTAGCAATGGATGGATGACATGTCAATCAACTTTACCTTGCTTTGCTCGAAGAAGAGGCATGTCATATAATGGAGGGTTCATCAACACATATTGGAGAAGTCAAGTATGTTCAATTCATTCCTTAGCTTACAAAACTTCTTCTCATCAAGTGGCTTGGTGAAGATATCGACAAGTTGATCTTCGGTGCCCACACTCTCAATGCAAATATCCCTTTTTTATTGGTGATCTTATAAAATGATGGCAGACATCAATATGCTTTGTTCTTGAATGTTGAACCGGGTTGTTGGTGAGCTTTACGGCACTCTCATTGTCACATAGCAATGGCACTTGCTTAAATTTGATCCCAAAGTCACTCAAAGTAGCCTTCATCCAAAGTAATTGAGCACAACAACTATCGGTCGAAATGTACTCCGCTTCGACGGTTGAAAGTGCTACACTATTTTGCTTCTTTGATGACCAAGACACAAGTGATCTTCCCAATAGTTGACATGTGCCCGATGTGCTCTTTCTCTCAACTTTGCATCCCGCATAATCGAAGTCCGAATATCCAATCAACTCAAATCTTGCTCCTTTGGGATACCACAATCCAACATTTTGTGTATGCTTCAAGTACCTCAATATTCTCTTTGTTGCCTTCAAATGACTTTCTCTTGGTGAGGCTTGAAATCTAGCATACATGCATACACTAAACATCACATCCGGCCTTGATGCGGTCACATAGAGTAGGCTTCCAATCATAGACCGATACATCTTTTGATCCACCATGTTGCCACTAGCATCACTATCTAAGCTTCCATTTGTCCCCATTGGTGTACTAATAGCTTTAGCATCATCCATTCCAAAGTTCTTGAGCATGTCATTGACATACTTGTCTTGACTCATAAATGTGCCATTCTTTATTTGCTTGATTTGAAGACCAAGAAAGTAACTAAGCTCTCCAATCATAGACATCTCAAACTCACTTGCCATCATCTTACCAAACTTCTCATAAAAATCTTGATTTGTTGACACAAATATGATATCATCAACATAGATTTGCATTACAAACAAGTCATTTCCAAGCTTCTTGGTGAAGAGAGTGGTGTCAACTTTTCCCATCTTGAATCCCTTAAAGAGTAGGAAATCTCTCAATCTCTCATACCATGCTCTAGGTGCTTGTTTTAATCCATACAAAGTCTTTCTCAACTTGTAAACATGGTTGGGTTTCTTCTCATCTTCAAAACCAGGAGGTTACTTAACATACACAAGCTCATTGATGTACCTATTGAGAAATGCACTCTTCACATCCATTTGGTACAACTTGATGTTGTGGGCACAAGCGTAGGCTAACAAGATCCTAATTGCTTCCAATCTTGCAACCGGGGCATATGTTTCTCCAAAGTCAAGACCTTCAACTTGAGTGTAACCTTGAGCCACTAATCTTGCTTTGTTCCTTATTACTATCCTATCTTGATCTTGCTTGTTCCGAAAAACCCACTTGATTTCAATCACATTATGATCCTTAGGCCTCTCAACTAACTCACATACTTGGTTTCTTGTGAAGTTGTTTAGCTCTTCATGCATAGCATTCACCCAATCAACATCCTTCAAAGTTTCATCTATCTTCTTAGGTTCAATGGATGACACAAATGAGAAATGTTCACAAAATGAAGCTAATCTTGATCTAGTTTGCACACCTCTTGAAATATCACCAATGATAGTGTCCAATGGATGATCTCTTGCAACATTGGTTGGTTGAAGCACTTGCACTTGATTGCTTGCATTTGATTGATCATTTGGTTGAGATGATGAACTAGCCACTTGTTGATCTTGCACTTTGTCATGACTAGTACTTACTTGAACTTGATCATGAGAACCACTAGTTTGCACATTTGAGTTAGAGAGCACTTGATTCTTGTCATCTTCAACATCAATCACCTCTCTAGGCCTTATATCACCAATGTCCATGTTCTTCATTGCATTGACCAATTGAGTGCCTCTTACATCATCTAGATTCTCATCTTCCTCTTGGGAACCATTTGTTTCATTAAATTCCACATCATGAACCTCCTCAAGAGTACCACTAGCCAA